AATTAAAATTATATGTAAAGAAAAGATGGTGGGGCAGAGATTTTTGGAGATAATGGAGTCTGAGCACTACCCCTTAGGCATTCTAAAATAAAGATTTTTTTTATAAACCAGCCTGTTGCTGGTTTATAAAAATCTTTATTTTAGAATGCCTAAGGGGTAGTGCTCAGACTCCATTATCTCCAAAAATCTCTGCCCCACCATCTTTTCTTTACATATAATTTTAATTTTAAAAAATCAAGAACTGGCATTCAGCAAAGCAAAACATTAACTTCTAGTACAATATTTATTGGTAGCAATGCTTTTGAATGCCACAAAGTTCTCGCTGCAGTGTAGAGAGCATCCTCAGGGGTTAGTTCACCTTATGATAAATGAACATTTTTGGACAGGCTTCACCCAGCATAGTGAACAGGCAAGTCTCCTACAACAATAATTTTGTAGTGCACCTACCACAAGTGCTCAAAATATGAAACAGTGCTATCAGCCCTCAGCCCACACATATTAGCCACATTTTAATTGATTTATCTGTTTGAAAAATGTATATCCCCCTCTTTACAATCAAGTTTTCTGAGAGTAGCTGATACAATAGTATGTTTAAACATACAGACTACTAAAATCATCAAACTTTTCCTAATGATGTTCTCCATGGACTTTCTGTTTACCTTTCAGGAATGAGTTCATATTACTGTGCTTGCCTGTGACCAGGACAAGCTGCTTCTCCAAAAGTGAAATCTGTCCAAAATATCTGCATCATAACAATTTCATAAGCAAAATAAAATTTTATCATACCTATAGAGATTTGAGATCAGTCCCTCCCTCCAGCGAGAACAAAGATTATTAAGAAGACGTTCATGCTGTCCAAATAAACATATGTAGTTGGAAACAGGAATAACTTCCTTTGAAAAGCAAGTAATGGTTTCTATCATGTTGTACTGGTTGACATGTATTCTGAAGTAATTTCCCTTTACTGCATCTCCTGTTGTGATTGCAATCCCCTATAATAAATTGAGAAAAGTGTTGGGACAACAGGCAAAGCTAGATCACATATCAAAGTGCTCACTCCAGGAAGAGAACAAGGCAGGTAGGGAAGGAGGTTAGTTACTACTGAAGTGTTTTATATCAATACCTTACAACTGAATTTCTAATTCTTTTTCCCTCTTGTGTGGGTTATACCACAAAGGTTATATTCTAAGAGCATTGCTATTAGCAGCAAGATTAGCTATATTCAAATGTTGTATCTGTGTCCTTACAGGAAAAGACCCAACACGAGTACCCATGGAAGTCTTGTCAGCAGAGCTGCCTGGTACATATGAATGTTCAGTACTGATGCACAAAAAAATGCAAGGAAGACTATACATGTTGTACATTTGTTATTAAGGTGGTTATTAATTTTGCAAAAACCTTGCTAGCAAAAAAGGAGGCAACCTTAGCATTTAATTCATATGCTAGCAGACTGAAAACTATGTGAACAATATTGTTACAGTTATGATGTCATTACACCTCATGTAGCATTTTGATTAATTTGTCTGATGTATATGAGGCTTATTATATGTCCATAGCTTTCCTAGAAAACAAACAAACAAAACATATCCTCAAGATAGTTCTAATTCAAAATCACACAGACCTGTTTATTACTCAGGGCGTACTTACATAATTAGGTTGTGATTCTTGTACATCCAAGCGGGCAGGAATCCCAGGTTTAAAAATATGCACATAATGATATTTTCCAGGTAGAACACCACCTGTGAAAAACAGCATTATCAAGACATGCAGAGTATACAAAATTAGTAAACTTGTTAATCATTAGACCTTCAAAGTACTTTTTATTTTTTAAAACACATCCAGGGTGACTGGAAGAACAGATGAAACTTCATTGCCATTTAATTGATGGTATGCATTGTGGCAGTTACATGCTGAACTGAAGCAGTTCTAACTTCAGCTAATCTTTTCAAGAATTGCACAAGTTAGACTCTGCTTTCTGTAAACACACAGCTGAGAGAATCAGAATACTGGATGAGCATTCAGGATCTTTTTAATAAGAATGAAAAAGGATTACTGTACTCTCAGACCTGCTTCATGCTTGGCATCTTTTCTCATAGGAGATGCCATGCAAATATGTTATATATTTGTAGGCGCAACTAGACCTGGAAAATATGACCTTATGAAAAAAAAGTGAGAAATCAGATCTATCAGGCAGCTGGGGTTGGTTATGATTTTCTTTTAATTTTTTTTCTATCTAATAGCCAATTTGATCTTAAAAGTTGCAAAATGTGAGAAATGGCTCCTTTTTGCTATATTTCCATTTCTTTGGAAGCCAAAATATGCGGGCTCTATCAGTGTTAGAAAAACAAATATCCAACATTTATTTCAGGGGCTAACCCCAAGTATTAAACACCTGAAATGTATTTCTTTCACATGAAAAAAACAACAACTGAAAAGCAGAATGGCAGAGAGTACTTAACCCTTTTCCTATTTTCTACTGCAGCTCCTATTGCTTCTTTTAAATCATTTTCTCTAGTTTCTAGATGAAGAGAAAGGGAGTGCAAGGCAGAATGTGGCAAGAGGAGAGGAAACTGCATCTATAAGAGTAACAGTTCAATAAAGTAGATCCAAAGTTTTAGCAGATTTAATTTCATGCACAGTCCACAATATGGGGCTTTTTGGGCTGCATGCAGACCCTGAAACTCTAAGTGTAAGTCCTTCTCTGAGCCCCCCGAAGCTTGCCTCCTATGATAAAATGGGGGAAATTATTAAAAACATTGTTAATAATCATGTTAACTGTATTAACTGTATTTTACATTGAATCAAATAAAAATAGTTTTTGTCTTGCTCTGGCTACTGATGTAATTTGGAGTACAGGGCTGGCTCTAGACATTCTGGCATCCTAGGCAGTCATATTCTGGCACCCCTATGGTTTGGCCCATCTTCCGATTTTGTTAGGAATGTCAAAAAGGTGCTCTTGTGCTTCTTTTTTTCTTTGAGTTTTTGAGCTTTACACTTATGATTTTCTGCCCTGGAGATTTTTTTTTTCTTTTCTCTGACATCTTCACCCTATTTACATTACAAAATTACATTTAACCCTTGAGCGTGCGCACTGGTTCACAGAATGCACTGTTACTGCTTTTTGCTTTTTGATTGTGTTTTTCAAAAGTCTTTTCAATTTTGGTGCCCCCCTAAAATTTGGCACCCCTAGGCCGATGCCTACTTGACCTTAGCCTAGAGCCAGCCCTGGCCACAGCCAGAAAAAGATTACACTTTTATGCTGTGCTGAGCCATACTTTTCCCAATGCCTGGAGGCTTTTAGCACCTTTTCTAAGTACCATATTTTTCCATGTATAAGACGATACTTTTTTCTAAAATCGTTACACTAAAAATTGAAGGTCGCTTTATACAAGGAAGTAAGCCGAGGAGAGAACCGCAGAGTTGCGAAACTCTGCCCATACTTTGTCTCTGCAAACAGGCTTCCTCCAATCACGAGCCTTATGTAACTGACGTCAGCTAATGCTGAACAAACCAATTGGAACACATGCCGTTGGAGGTGGCGAGCATGTAGGCAGTGCGCAGATGCGACAGGGACCGGTAATGTCAGACCATTCTGAGCCCATAAAGATGTCGGAAAATAAAAAAATAAATAAGCGAATATCTTACTCCGCAAAATTCAAACTGAATGTAATCAGTTATGCAAAAGAGCATGGAAATAGAGCTGCAGAGA